GGGGAACGGCTCTTAGCTCCTCTTTCTGCAATGTCCCTCTATTCTTTCTTTCTGTCTGTTTGTCTTCCCTTCTCGCCACTGAGTAGCTGCTGTTATTGTGCTTTCCTTCAACTGAAAAAATAGTAATGTCATTTCAATAAATATCCACCTTTAAAGTACAGATTTTTAATGAAAAAGGCTAATCATATAAACTTGCTTAATTTGGCTTGGGGTAAATAATGTGCTAAACAGAAGCAAAAGACAAAACTGTGAAAGTAGAATGACATGAAGTGAGGAAAAAGAAAAACACAAAATTTTAAAGTAAATATCACTTAATCTGTGCAATTTAGTAGTATAACTATAGATACAAAATACTTAATTTTCCTGCTCTCATTCCAGCAATACATTCCACCTCGCGCTGGTTTACCGTGCGTCGCTTTTTCACCCCCCTCCTCGTTTCTTTCAAACTTTTGGGGCATAGATGCCGCGTTACGAACAATAAGTGAGGCATCGTGGTGGAATCAGGCTCTCGTCAGTTTTTGAGCATGTAAATGTGGAATTATGAGATTCTATTAATTTTAACAAAGAACGATAAAGGAGAATAATCAGAAAACCCCAGGGACAGAATGATAAATGGAAGTTAAAGAAAATTCATCAGTCAAGACAGAACTTTCTGTAATTATCATTTAAATTAAATGTTCAAACTGGTAAAGACGTACCGGCAACAAAATACGTGTCAAAATAATTATTTGATTCTGATCCATAGGAAAGCATTACAACTGCGGCCTGCCTGTTTACAGAGGGCAGCAGCCCCCCCCCCCCCAAAAAAAAAACAAACCAACTAAGTATTTTTTGTTTGTTACGTATCTTAATCATACACTCAAAAACAATACACATTTTTTACTTTCATCCATATTCATTAAAATGTATTTCTTCAGCAAAAGACACGGAAGAAATTTAGGGATCACAACTCTTAAGTTTATTTAACAGGGATGAGTGTGTCTGAAATATTTATTGAACATATATTTATAAAGGAAACTTTTTTGTGATAACTTTTAGGTTATCTAAGGATGTATTTATAATTCCTAAAAATTAAATAGCACGATGTTCCCTCAGTATCTCTGTCAAAGAGATGAGAGTTTTTACATTATTCATCCTTAGAAAATGGCAGCCTGCGGTCGTTCTGTAGGTTGCCGACTGCAATGTTTAATCGAGCGTTCTAATCAATTGAAGTCTGTTTGTGTACAATCTGTAAGGTACAGATGGAAACCACCTGATAGGGATCTCGAAGTTTTGCCATCTTTTTCCGAAAGACTTTCAGGTATCTTTAATAGTTTTCCATTAGAGGTGCTACAAGTACAAGACAAGAGGCATTCTTCTCTGTCTCATTCTGTTGTCGTTGTCGTTGTCGTTGTCGGCGTCGGTTGTGTACTGACTGAACTTCCTAGATCTAGACTAGACTAGATCTACTGTGTTCACCTTACTCTTACGACTAAGATCTAGATATGTAGACTAGATTATAATAGATTCTAGATCGAAATCTAGATCTAGTACTGGTCATTAAGTTATCTTTTTCGAAGTGATTATTCGGACTCGAACTCGAGTCCGAATATGAAAAAATGTTATTCGGACAACGACGGCCTATCTTTGGTGCTTTTTCAGTAGTTCCCACCCCCCCTTATTTGAGCCTGACCTACATCTAGATATCTAGATCTAATATCTAGATCTAGATCTATACATTTGATTCGCGGTGAGCTAAGATATCAAACCTAACAACTGCAAAATATTAAATTATGGTAAAATACAGGGGGGCATGCCCCCCCCCCC